CCTACATAGTTGGAACTTTTCCTATATGTCTATAATTGAAGTGAACTATCATAAGTACATTTATGGTGTGTTTTCCACTTATCTATATCCTTACAGTTCCGCGGTTCTTCTGGAATAAAAGATAAAGACTGCCAACTTGTTCCAGCCCGAATCTAGAAACTACCTTAGCTAGACCCATATTTCAGCAATTCCCACCTGAATGGTCGGAATACATAAAGAACTTCAGGCGAGCTTTTGAAAAGCAGAGCCACGCACACACAGACAGCAGCAATTGCCACCATCGACAGCATTGCTGGCCTGTATACCAGGGCTGTTCTGCTGTTTCCATAAGTCAGCTTGTGTTCACATGCCCTGCAACACTGGTGCCTTGCTTTCATCTTAATCTTTTCCGTCTCCAGACTGGATGCTTTTGCCAATCTGGTCCCATCTGATAGTTTCTGCTGGGAATTGCAGTCTAACCGGGTTCCAGAGATATCCAGCACCACATGTCCACATTCCGATTTTTTGTTGATTTTTCTCTGAACCAGGTGGATGTAGGAGTAGTGACCCCGAAGGCATGCATAATCATTAGGTGTCAGACCTGTGCTGTCTCGGGCACTTTTCCAGGCTTCAATTGCCACCTGGACAAGGCACACACCCAGATCAGCAGTAGAAGAGGAGCCCAACGGGAGTGATTTAAGATAATATCATACCATGAAATTGCTGAATCTTTACCCCAAGAAAATAAAAATATTTTGTTTAGAAAATCCAATGAAAGTGTTTGAGAGAGAGAGAGAGGGACTGCAAAGATATCAATCAGCAGTTCAAGCTCAGTGAGTCATCTAGAAATCAAGTAAGATCATAAATCACTGAGCTAGAAAGTGAATGCAGAGGGGCACACATGGATCATGAATTAAACTCAACAGCATGCTTTCCAATGACAACATAATGCATTATATATTAAAAATATGCAGAGAGACATAAGGAGATACCAATCCAGGATCATCAGTTAAAGCATCTAAGACATTCTCAGAGCCTTCGTTACTAGCTGCCACGTGAAGAGGAGTCAACCCAGCAGGCCCGGCAACATTAGGTTTAAAGATGAATCCATCGTAGTTTACATCCACCAGTGGCTTATGCTCAGATCCTGGCTTATCCAATACTTTATCTGGGACATATCTTAATAGTAATTCTACCATGGGCCTGCAATTTCTTTGGACAGCCTTGTGCAGCAGACACATATCCAACAAGGCAAACTCAATAGAACTATGGTCTCCCAAATCAACTGTTCCATCAAAGAGAATGCCCAGAAGTTTCTTCACTACGGCACACCACTCATGGTCCATGGAGAATTCCATAAGCCACTTGAACCTTCTGAAAGGGAAGAGATTTGAATTTGGGTTCAAGTGACCCAGCCTCCAATGCAAGTGATTTCTGTGAAGAAGCCATCCCATTTCATGCATAAAATCCAGTGCTTGATTCTTGGATTCCATTTTCTCAGCATTTTTATTGATGTCAACAGTAGGCACAGCTGTCTCTATCACACCCTCCAGAGTACAGATCTCAGAACACACTTCTTGCTCTGCAACTATAAATGGAAAAAATGTGCTGCTAAGTCCATGGTCTTCAACCTGATAGAATCTCATGACCAAAATCCTTGTATTAGAGTGGAACAGGACAGAACATCAATGCATGAAACAAACAAAATTTTGGCAAATCTCTATTCATTTGTGTCTTTCTTTTATTTTAATCATCCTAGACTTGGTCTCAACTAGCACTTAATTGATGTCTTTTTAATGATCTTTTCCAAGTCACAGACCTGATTGCCTAATTTAAAATCATATGATAGTATGCGAACAAGATCACATGCCTATTTAGGAACAACATTTCACTGAAAATGAGACATTAAGGCTCCATAGATCTTAATTATATGAATAATTAAGGATAACCACCTTCATTTAGTGACAGGACAGCGATGAAAAACATTATTCTTGATCATCAATGGGATGGAAAATTAAGAATTAGCGCTGTAAATAAACAGGTCTAACACCTCTTTTTCGTTTTCCATCTTTCTTTTCATCTACAATCCCCCCTCTCCCAAACCACAGAGAACAGATTGACAACTGCATTATAAAAGCTACCCAGTTTTGTACTCGAGATCTATCATTTTTGTAATTTACTATATCTAACCAAATTTTACAGTAAAAAAGACAATAGAGGACCTCATTGATTAAGAAAAAGACAAAAGAACATGATCAGAAAACACCAAACAATGGAAGCACCTCAATAAATCCTCTGCCAGAAACATTTGGTATGGAGCAAAGGAAGCAAAGGGACTGGAGTTCATCCTGTCCGTTGACAGGATCAATAACCTGCATCAAGTCGTAACAAGTTTCCTGCACAAGATACTTTCCTTCTATTGCACACAGTAACCTGAACCAGAGGCTTGCCGGAGTTAGCACTTGTCCAGTCAAATTAATGGCACATAAATTATTTGAATAGTAGCTTTTGTTAACTCTAAGCTCCTTCACATCCTATTTCACAGAGTGAAATGGATGAAACGAAAGCATAGCTGGATGCAAAGAGAATGAAGAAATACCTTGTGCTGGACCGATTAAGGTTAAAGCCTTTTACTATAAATTGAACTCTCTCTGTTATAGACACAGCAATTGGTTTAATGCTTGAGATCCTGCAACATTTATGGCTTTTCAGAGGTAAAGGGGTGTCCAATAGTACCTGACCTGCAGCATAGATAGGTAAATCATAGGCTTTTCTTCTGGCAATGTCACTACAAGATACTAAATTTGTTAATAATGAAATGAAAAGGAAAAACTGTGACTAAAAAATCTTTCAAGCTCACAGAGAAACACATAAGACACATACAAACACATTAGCAGAGAGAGAGAGAGCAGAACCATTATAAATAAATGCGATAGAGTGCCGAACCCTAGCATACACCCATCCTGTTTTCCAAAAAGAGTCGTTGGACACATCAACCAACCTTCTCAAACTGGAACCCAAATCAAAGCGTAGCTGTATATAAGACAGTTAGTAGGAGGATCAGTAATGCTTTTCCTCAATATTAGAATGCAATTCCCATTTTGCCATCTGTGACAAAGCATACCTCTTCCCATGCAGACTCTCTTAAACGAAGATATATTGTTAATATTACACAGCCGGGTCTTATGTAGCTTTCAATGTCAGTAGGACTGTGGGATAGCCAGTCAAGGATCTGAAAGATCAATATTATCCACAGAATCAAACCAACAACACGAAGAATTCTGAAATAGATTTTGAACCTATACAATTCTTCAAATTACCTGTCTGCGTAGAGCAATAGGAAAACCATTTGGTTCCTTTCCAAAGAGCTTAAAAACAATTCGATCAGTGCGACTCTGAAAATTGGTAAGAAAATAATGCTCGAGTCAAAAAATCCTTCAAGGTCTATAAAGTAGCTGCACATACTTGTGCTTTGACTCAAATAAAAAACATTTCATTACAAGTTGCTTATTTCACTGCATCATTATGTTCTCTCAGTCATAGCAAAATGTCTAAGTCATACTTAACAACACACAAATTATAGTACAAAACATTGGAAAATAAATAAGAGACAGTCCAACAGCCCTTTCGGATAACTTATAATAATAATTGCCTCAAAACTGAAAAATAAGTGAAACAGAGTTTCATGGCACATGCATATGTGTTGCTTGTTTATAAAAGAGTGTCTATCTCTAGGGACAATAAGCATAGATAGACAGATATACAGAAAATGGAAAATATAACTTAAAAGCCTTCTGTCAATGGTCAGCATTGTTATGCTCCAACAATATTGAATTGAACACAGTGAAATAACAGAATATAGATGGTATTAGTCTGCAAGCAACTGTTGTCTCTCTATCCCTAAAATATAGTCGAAAGGTACTTTCAAAGGTAACAGAAGTTGAGTTCACCAAAAATAAATAATACTGATGATAATAAACCTGAGCCTCTCCACTGGAAGTAGACGGTGACTGGCTAGAAGTTGAATCTGAGTTCCCACTCAACTGAGGTGGACTTGACCTGTGTGATTCTGGCACACGGACAGAGCTATGCAAAGACTCATTTACAGGGTTTTTAAGAACCAGAGATCTTTCTAAATTCTCTACATAGTCTTGGGAATCATCATAAACATTATTCAAGTCTATGTTATTCATTCTGAATCTCCCAACAGTAGCCTCTGAAGCATTTGCTCTGAATGGAAGGCTGCCTCCTGATGGAATCGGCATTTTAAATGGAGAACCAGACAGACATCCATCCTGAACATCATTGTTAGCGCTTCTTCTCTGTGCCACATTGGCAGCAGGTAGAGTCCCACAATGACCCATAGATCCCTGCCAATCAGGGATATTAGCAGGGTCATCTATTTTAGAGCCTGAACCAGAGGGCCTAGCATGTTCACTACCATTAGAAACCACATCAGTCACTTTTTCAAGATTCCCAACAGACCTTGCAGCATTCAATACACCTTGAGAACCTTGAAGTAATCCAGATATGTTCCTTCCATCAATTGAACCACCTAGACTGGCCAGACTCCTCAACAGATGAGAAAGCAGATCTCGATCCTTAGTTTGATCAGAGCTGTTAGCTGCAATTTTGCAAAAGCCAAAAGATCTTCAAGTCAAGGAAGGAGAATGAAGGAGGAAGTTAGAGAGAAAGTAAGGAAACATATCATGAATAAACTGGAAGCATATCAAAATTATTTTACAAGCATGAACTTTCAGCAAAGATTACATGTTGAAGCTAAACATCTAAATAAGTAGCTTCATCCTCCAGGTTTCTTAAACCAGTAACACTAATGAGGTCAAAACTAAAGTGCAAGAATCTGCCAAGGAGCCACTGCTCAGTGGCACAATTAAAGAACCGAAAATTGAGGTGGATCAATGAGTCAACTTCATGATTGGTTGAGGATAGACCAGAAAATCTGTCATCCACATCAGACCATAACCATCAATTTTGGTCATTAAACCTTTCTAGACAACTTCCATGCGATCTATCGGGAAGGATAGTACACACAAATGGAGATATCTTCAAACCCAAATTGCATTACGAGTGTAAATTTTAACCCTCCTATATTTTAGAGGGAAGCATTAGGATCTGCAAAATCACCAATCTATTCAAAACTTAATGTGAATGCTCATGGCACGAAATTCCTTGATAAATTCAGAGTTACCAAAGCTTAACCATAGACGGAGACTTTCAAAATTTTTTCCAACCCAGGATTATAATAATTTCTACCCAGAACTCCCACAAGTTTTGTCACTGTGGTGATGGGAATTGGACCTTTAGATGGCATCAACACCACCAGCACCCATGGCCTGTAATTCCTCCAATCATGAACTGTACCTGAAAATAAGTTTTTAAACAGCAATCTGCCACAATGTATCCCCAAGAATAACCAGCCATGATGAAAACACTGCAGAAACAGCTTTTCAGAATTATCATGTGCCATAGACTCTGCCATTTGGAAATTATATCCAGTCCCAAGTTTTCCAATTTAACATCACTACATCTAAGATTTCATTTCACAATTTAAGTTATTAAAAAACAATAATTCTCTTAGACCCATAAGCACCTTGTTTACTTTTCCTTCATCTTTATTTTCTGTTAACTACTACCAGCCAATAATTTAGCTAAAGAAGCTGACTTGCAGGAACTTATTTTCTGGTAAGTCACTAAAATTTAGGACCAGAGACTCCAGGAACGGCACCAATGTTGTAGCTCCAATTAAGCTAGAAGTTTGGACGGTCATATAAGCTTTAAGCTTCGAAAATCCAGTGTTATGTCGTTCAGCATAAAGTTCTAGCATTTTGTCTGAGATGAAGAGCATGTTAGCCAACAAGAACACTGTCAATCCATCTATATTCTGTCGCATAAAGGAAACTAGATACTAATTCGGTTGACTTATAGACAAGGTATGTAAAATGCAATGTGCATAAAGCAGAAAATCCAGGAGTGTTAATCTCATCCATAGCATTTGGTAGGTCTTCTATGCAACCAACTGACATCACTTTCCTAATTAAGCAGCAAGGTAATTAATTTTGGGCTAGAGCAGATACTTACAATGCATATTAGAGAGAATCCTCAGAAGACTAATCAACAAATAACTACTACTCCTTTCATCATTCAGCGAACCTGCAGTAGCTACATTATCAGGATGTGTCTTCCTCCGGCGTCTGTTGTGGCCAGCCAAACGTCTACGACAGCTCCGCTTCCCTTCATCAAACTCTTGAAGAACATGAAACCTGCCCATGAGTATAAGCAAGTTGCATCTAAATGGAGAGAAAAGAATTTTCTGCAATGTAGACTACAATTGAAAAAGCATCTAAACTCCGGTAAGTAACAAGAAATTATGTGAAATGCACAGAAAGAAATCAATCTAATGGCCAGAATCAGGATCATAAATTATGACTGCTCTAAGATGCAGGTTTTTGGTACTATATGTTTCAGAAATAAAAATAGTACTAAAATATAACCCACCTGCTACACTGTTGACAGAACCGCTGCATAACATTACCCACCAGTGCTTTACCGGCCTTAGAATGCATATCACAAACTTTATGCCGTCGATGATAATCCTTGGCATTGCTAAGATCAGCCCTACAGTCCTCCACTTGACACACTGCACGACTAGAAGCAGCGCCAGTAACCTTGGTCTTCTTCCCACACTTTGCATCGTCATCCATGATAGGATAAATTTGCCCTCCAAGCTTTAGATTAAGAGAAGCAGAGTCAGCATTTACCTCCTCATCCTCACCAACTACAACCCTCCTCCTTTTCTCCACTTCCCTCTTTCCTTTCTCATTGCCTGGATTGTTATGTTCTGAACAAGAAGATGAAGTATGTGATGAACCTGCATTTGCCGGAGTTTCAGGCCCAACAGGAAACAACTGCCTACTCCTACAATCTAATGGCACGGAATTTAATGGAGTAGCTGTAAAAAGATCGCCGTCCCATTTCCAGTCATTCAAATCCCATTCTACACTCTTCTTTTCAACTGATTTCAAATCAGATACCATTGGACCATATACATGATGAGGCTTGCCTCCAAATTTAGCATCCATTCATCAACTCAAAAATCCCCCAAAAAGGCAAAGTGCAAAGATTCCAATTCAATTAAACAAGAATCCAGTATAAAAAAGGATGAAACTTTAAACCACAAACAAATTCGCAGCTGAATCGTCCAAAGAGATTAAACCCAGATAATCATTATCCGATTTACCCCTCTTGAACCGCGAACATTCCAAAAACAGTACCCATAAGTCCAAATAAGGGCTGCCCACATGTCCAAAGCCGTCTAATCACCCAGTGATCACCTCAAACTCCATAAAAAAAATCATCCCTTTATTTCATTACAAGAAAGTTGCTGAATTGGAGTTGATCAGCAGCGGTCAACAACCTTCATAAACGAGCAGCCTCATAAAAACAACAAATACATGAACAATAAATGAGAGAAACTTGCCGAGAACTTTGAGAGATGAAGTGCAGCCCCCGAGAGACGAGTGTGAGGAGGAGAGAATATGGAAGACGGAGAAAGAAGCAGTGCTGTGCTGGAAGCAAAAGTGAAGGTGATAAGCTGAGAAAATTTAGGAAGAGGTTAGGAGAGAGATTTGTGTGATATAAATGCGGTTTCAGTGGGGAGAGAGAGAGAGAGAGAGAGAGAGAGAGGAAAAGATAACACTTTTTTGTTTATTAAAAGAGTCTAGTATTTATTATATGAGGAATCTATGCCCCACACCGGCGTCTCTCGCTCTTTAACTCAACACAGTAATATAATGTTAGTAACATGGTACTCCTTACACATGTGGACACCCTCTATTTAACCTTTGGGAATGCCAATTTTTCACCCCAGGGGCTGAGGCGCCGTGGCTAATGGCCTGCTGGCTTGCCCTTGGCTGTGCCTGTAAGGAGTAATCGTAAAAGAAAGGGAGGTAAAAGTAATGAAAAGGAAACAATGGAAAGTATCATTGTGTTTTGCTGGTGCATTTTTCAAGGCTACACATCCAATTCCAATGCAAATGCAAATGCAATTAGAATTAGGTAGCATCGGAGAGGAATCTGGACAAAGTGATTGAGACCATTCCGTCAGTGGACCCTCTTTCATTCTCTCTGTTTACTTGTTTGATCAGTGGATGGGGGCGGCATTCGGGTTTTCGACCTTCTACTGAGCAAAAGTTGTTTACCTTTTCCATCGAACCTGATAGAAATTGATTTCCCGCAGGCTTCAACTCGGGCATTTCAACATAGCTTTACACCTGTTGTACACCTACGATTTAAAGAATTTCATTACAGTTTTTCTTGTATATATCTTCTTTGCTTGTAGTAAGCAACATATAAGTGATAGGAGATGATGGAGACGCTCAAGTTTTAGCCAAAGCAAGGCAGTTGCTTTCTACTATGTCTATACGTTTTCAAAGCTCAAATCTGAAACAGGGACATAAAGGGTAAAGATAGATCGGGTTTTTCATTCTTGTTCTTGGATTTGATTCTTGTTACTTTGACCAAAGGGAAGGGTTGTGAATCAAAGACGAGCTTTGTTTGTGTACTTTCAAAAGAAGCACAGCACAAGCTGTGAACCACTGAGAACCATAACATTATTCTGTATTCTGTACGCTGCAGAATACAACAGTGGTCAAGGAGTCCATTTGCATGCAGGACCCTTCTCTGCCCAATTGCCCATGAAGAGTTGAAGTAATAGTTTTAACAGCTGCAAGAAAATTGCAGCAATTATACTCTTGGCATTAAAGATTGACAAGTACTTCAAGACACAAATTGTTAAAACTGTTTTTGAAACAGAAAAATCATTTGTATCCACTGCATTAAGATTCAAGATCCTCCCCCTTCCATCAGGACCAGGCACCCGGGTGCTCGATCCATCAATTGTGAGTCATTGTAGAGTGATCAGGTGAAAATAAATATCACCCCAAAATCTATATGGAAACAGCAAATCCATTAAAATGGAGAATGGAGAGTGGAGACCCACCATTACCAAGCATATAGATATGGTACACGGTACACGGTACACGCTACAGTAGCTAATACTATAGCTGATTGATTCTCATTTTGCATAGGGAAGGGTTAGCCTAGATGATAAGAACATAAAGAACTACAAGGGAAGGGGGTAAGATTAGATTTAGATGCCCCGAAATTTTCACCATGTCCTTTTTTTTTTCTCCAATTGGTATAGCCACAGGGGCTGGAATGTACCACCTCGTGGACCTTTTTTACTTGGTGTAAGGGACAATATGACAGGTTCATGAGTCATCAGTTAGATATATACTATGTACTTACCGGACAGCGCCATCGACCTCGACCTCCATCGTTGCATTTTCCTTCAAATTATTAAATTTTTTTTATCTTTATGGATGCATTTCTAGTTTCTCATCATGATTTTTGGAACTCCATTTATGGATTTGGAGAGATCATTGAGGGAAGAAAATTATGAAAACAATTGGGGCATAAGCCACAACCTTAGAGAATAAGAATCCAAAGAAGTCATGTGCCTAATCCAAAACAAAATGTAGATATCAACGATGCGATGCGGTCCCCAGAGGAAATGGTTGGCAGGGCAGCTCATGTGAAGTACGGAGGATGGAGCTTGATGGGCAATCTGGACCAAATGTACAGATGTGAGTAGCTCGTCGTGCGGAGAGGAGGCCGTGTATATTTGGGAGTCCAAGCCAACCCCATTACTGCCCATTGCACAGCACATGTTATTGATGCAGTCAAGTCAACCTAGAAGTAGAAAGAGCAGGAAGAATTGCAAATCTAGGACCTCCAAAGGATATTGCATTGCATACCTAGTTAATTTAACAGCGTTGGATGATCTTCATGAGTCATAAATTGTCGTAATTAGGTAGCAAGAATTGATGAGACGTTGAGGGACGAAGAGGGGGTGGTGGTCGATTCTTGAGTACTCTTCAATCTGATTCCCCCATGCATGTATTTGAAGAAGGCTTGGTTTAGTAATTGTTTCTAATTAGACTGCTTACAACTCATAACTGCAGTGCTGACAACTGGATTACATTGCTCAAAATTAATGCAGATCAAACTTTATGTAACTTGGACAATCATTCTAGCTATTACATGTCCAAAATTATAGAACTAATGTTGGTCGTCCTCTTTTACTGCTGAAGAAGAGGAGAGAGAGGAATATTCGGGAATGGAGATATTTTGATGGCCAATGATAAAAATGAAACAAAGGAAGGGATGAGGAAGCATCCTTGACATGGAAATATAGTACCATGTCCTTCCCACTAAGGGATGGGGATGGGATTGGGACCGGGACCCGGACTCTGTTAGGAAAATAAGAGCCATTATTACTACTGGTTGTTCCATTACTACAACACTAACACCATAGAAGCCAGGTAAATTGCACTACTACACTAGCAGCCAATTCATTCAGAAATATAATTGACTTTAATTGCACAAATTTATATACTTAAATTACCATGTAGATGTAGCCTAAAGACCAGATTAATCATTGAAATACGTTAGCCCACCTAACATTGTCATATTCGACACTTGTTCCATTGGTGAGTCTTAGTCAAATGGGGCGCCTCCTTGTTGGTACACAATATTAATATATAACATGATGTGGAATATTGATATTCCAATACTTTTTTTTTCTTTTTTTGAAAATTAAGAATCATTCATTCCAGAGAGGGAGTCCAAAAACAAAGAAAGGAGAGTAGACGACTGATTGGCAGCCAGTCTTGACCCTCCCAAAACAAACTGGTAACAAAAACACCAGTATCCCCTCCTTATTCTGCAGAAACAGAGTAACCAACTCTTTCCCTTTTCACCAATGGACCAATAAGCCTGCGCTAACCGGGGAAAATAGCCAAAACAATAGACAAACAACCAGTCAGAAATAAGTAAGACATGAGAACAAATTCACTGTTCCCAACTCTTGCTAAATCTGAGCATCAAAACAGAAGACCTGGTGCGAGTCAATCCAGCAAAAATCAGCACCCTATCCCTCCTGCAATCCAGAGTCAAAATTAAAACCCAACAAAACTCAAACCACATATGTCGACCAGCATCAACACTCACGGTCACCAATACATTTTATTTTTATCTCACCACACCAACCATCTGTTTAGGCAAACCTTCCTTGGATGTTATGTTATGGATATGTGGACTTGGGCCACTCTATCAGTACAACAAGAAGAAAATCGGGCAACCCATGTAATATAGGCCCGAGATATGGATCTAGCGTCAAGAGAAGAAAAGGACTAATGAATTGCATGTTGCAACTGCAGATAATTAAAGATTGGTACAGCCTTCCATTCCATCAAAGAACAGAGAGATAAGAATGCTACAACCTGTGTAAAGTGATTTAACAGATAATGACATGAATAACCATTGCTATTTTTATCAGAGAAAAAGTGATGGCCTTGCTCTTGCATATGCAGCTAGGAGAATAATTTCTGTAGCGAATGCATGGCATGGCACATGGGGTTTCCTCCTTTCCAGCCAATTCCAGCAAAGCCAACAAAGCACAAAATCAATGTTTTTTCTACTCATATTTAAGGTTTGAATATGAGGGTCTCCAAGGTTTGAGTCATGACACAAACCAACAGTCAAAAGACAGAGAAAATCACGTACGGGATACGACACAACTTAAGGAAAGAAGCACGACAGTGAATAAAATTTTTACTTCCTTCATTCGCATTCATTCACACTCACACACACCAATTTTGTGCTAAAACCTAGAATTGAGAGTCTAAGAATAGAGAGGTATAAAAGTCCAGACAACTAGACAAGGACAGACCAACACACAACCCCAAAATGTCTCCTCTCTTTCTTCCCCTCATAATAATAATACAGTAGTATATGTATATGATATATAGTAGAATTGCTGCATGTTTGGTAAATCCAATCTGAAACTCTGTTTTCAGTCGCAGAGCAATACCAACTTAACACACAGACTTGACGCAGCCACTGACTTTCGAGTTTTGTCAATTATACTAATACTAATCAAGGTAACTTCTTTTTCTTTTTTTATGGTTTTTGTTTGTGTTTAATTCTTCTTTCTCGAAACTGGGTCTTGTTTCTTTGGTTCTTTTAGTCATGATTTTTCATGTGTTTGATCAGTTTTCTTGTAGCATAAATTTTCTCTGTTCTTTTCGTATTGGCTGCTGAGGGTAATAAAAAAAAAAGGGAATTATGATAGCATAAATTTAAATGTTTAAAACTGCTCTTTTCAATATCAGAAGAATGATATGATAAGCTTTAATGAGAGTAAGAGGTTGATGGTGAAAGTAGGAATCGCATTGATCGGCTTTTAGATGATTAAAAAGACATTGCTTAATTAATTTGATCATTATATCATATGGTTATGACATTGTTCTTGTTCTTGTAATGGACTTCTTCTGGTAGCCTCTGGTTTTGATGTTTACGGAAATGGAAGTTTAATATGTTTCGATGCCAACTATTAATCATATGCTTTCGCATTCACGCTTTTATAACAGTAAGGTATTACTTTCACGGTCAAACCATCCGTCATACCAAAAATTTGGGAAGAATTCAGAATCCCTGTTTAGAACAATAAGAATGCGTTGGGTAGGCTTAGGCTATTGGTAAAGAGGAAGTAGACCAAATCCTGAGAGATCAAAATTTGCAGTGGGTGCTGATTTGCTTGCCACAAGTCATATGTATTTAATAATACATCTTCATA